GCATACAGCTTGTTCAGTGTACGCATGGTTTTGACAGCATTCTGTGCCGAATGATTTATGTATTAAGGCTTTGTTCAGATGGTACAGAAATCAATAACCCATACCACATTGTATGTAATAGGTGGTGTCTATTGCAGAGCGTTAAGATTCAAATGAACATTGTTTTGTTTGAGTAATTTCTTTAACATGTTACGAATGCTTTAATGTTTCCAACCTTCTATTTCGAAATGCAACACACAATAAATGATGTTTTGAACAGAATATGCCTCCATCTGTGAAGGCACTACATCTCACGCTCTGACAATAACGGTAAAACTCTATTGACAATTTATTAAACGACACTTTGAAATGTTTAATGTGTTAATACGAATTTGTTTCAGTGGTGTTATCAGATTGTTGTATTGGCGTGTAATGATAACGTGGGGACCTTGTACATATTCAGCATTCTCTCCAGAGTAGTTTTCTTGCGATCATAGTTAATTACATATGTTACTCTCACGCTGTCACGTCGTCCCCAATATACATACCTTCATGTAATACCTACTCAGTGATGTGTGAAATATATCATAGGCTGATCTGTATAGCACTGTATGTAAAGACGTAGTAACAGCCGAGGTCGCTTCGTCCCGCGGTGCGTGAATTCCGAACTGGAGGGTCTGTAATAGCTAAATATAGATTTGTTCTAGTTTCAGGCTAGGCCCAGTAGATCAGTAGGTCACCTGCGATCTGTTGCCAAGGTCGTGGCAAGTTGCCCACAACTTTAATCATTATGACCTAAAATGAATTTGGCTGTATGCTTCGAACAGTGTAGAAGAGTACTCTTTGAAAGGTTTTTGGTTGAAAGACTTTTGCTGCACGTTTCGACAAAAGACGCAATCGACTTGGTGAAATTAAAACGTAGATCGGAGCAAGCTTTCATGTGTACGGTTCCATCGCCCTCTTTCAAGGCTGTACATGCTATAGACTTCACAGGGATGCACGAACCGTTACACATAAATGGCTCGGCACCATTGAAGTGTTTTCATATGATGCTCAACCAGCCATGTGGTGAGCATTGAACATCTAGATAGATCCAGCTGACGCTGTTATCTTGTTCATCAGCCTACACCGTGATCAATCCTGGAAACGCATGGGCACTACGTGAGACCGAAATGTCGCCAACATGTAAACTTCGATCCCACAAATTCTGGTCAATACTGCGCGTTGCTATGTATTTTCATGTCTCAGCTCAGGACTATGACCCAGTCCTCGTCCCACGGGTTGCTGTCTTATCATCAATTCCATTTTGTGTGTATCAAATAAAAAAAATAAAATTTACTTTTACTATGTCAAAACTAATATCTGAAAGGGAGAAGTACATAATATGATGGAAGTCCTACCCCAATATATGACCAGATCAGAAGCTATGCCTTTTGTTAAAGTTTATGATAAGCCCGGTTGCCAGGGCAGAATTTCAAAGAGGAACGCGTGTCTCCCATACAAATGGAGATATTTATATCCTCAAGGTGCGCAGGTTATGAGGCAAGGTCAAATTACATTCAAACGGGACACAAAAGTTATAATAATACATATGGAAGTGTCAATGCAATATATTCACGAAGTAGTGTGTCATTCCAGCCAGTCTGCACGGGGAAAGATAAAGGAATCATGCAGCATGTGACATTCTTCTTGGGTTTTCATTTGCTTCTTGGAAACACATTTTCTTTGTTTACAGCGCTAGGTGTCGTACATAACGTGGTAAAGTACGATTTGTGGAACCTTGAGGTTAGAGTTCGTTTGTCACGTGACCTGGTTCAGCGTCCTTGTAAAGGTAGTTTTTAAGTACATCACTACCGTGGGATGTTGCGGGTACATTTTTGTCATGTTTGAAAGATGTTGGGAAATGTGACCTCTAGTACAATAATAAAACGAAAGATGACCCTTGTACTAATTTACACACATGTGAAACGACTGCTCCCGTGATGTGTAGAGATAATACAATGTAAACAGATGTTACAGTCATTGTTTAACACGAAACACTTGTCAATGAACACAACATTTTTATTTTCATCATTCAATGGAACGAGAAATACACCTCATTATTACACACAGAATAAGTGTTAGTGACGGGAATATTGTCTTACAGATTGAATGGAAGTGCCATTCCTTTCAACAATTAAACCTTGACTCTTGAAAGGCTCAGCTCAGACTTGAATCAGACAGCCACGCACTTTTTCACACAATAATTAACGTTCAACAACTCGGTTAGAATTTCGCAACATCCCTGGTGCTAATAGGTGGGTCTCGGCATTTACCGCAAAATCACGTGTAGGCAACGACCTTCCCCTTCGAATTGCTCATTAACGGACGCTAGATCTGGGGCAGACTGATCTTGATTGTGGATCGATATCTCTACGGACTGACCTAGTTTGTGCTGGGATAGTGGTACTGATGTCTTGTTGATATCGATTTGTGCTGCAGGCGATTTATCTAACGCTGATAAGGTAGAAGACCAGTCTAATACCCTAAAAAAACGAGGTTACATCGTACAAAAAAAATGGCTCGTCTTGGAAAATCTTTCTTGAATTGAGAGATGGCTGTAGCAGCTTTTCGTTGTGATCGTTAGATGAGAAGTGACATATGTTTAATCCTTTGTATAGAATAATACTGCCAATAAAGAATATGTGAGTGAGTGGGCTGGATGTTGCGCCACTTTCAGCAATATTCATATCAGTCACCACCGGCAATTGGCTTTTCACACTGTAACCATGTGGCAGATCGAACTCTTTGGCGTGATTAATGATCCACGTGAGATTGTGATGTATAAAATACTACAGCTGTATTGATCAGCTTGCACGCACACACCTCTGGAGTGTTTCCTGATATTGTTCACGGTTATGAATAATTAAAAATTACTTGTCTATATGACAGACGCCCGTAGAATAGTATGTCATAAAGGTGACTGGTATACACATGGAATAACTTACGGTTCTTAAACTAAGGATTAATCTCTGAAACTATATGTTGATGGAAAGAAGTAATTATTTATTTAGATTTGATATTAAGACTGAAAAGGAGCCTCAGCGAGGAGGTGGATTGTGAACCGAAGGGTAATCTAGGCTTCATTAAGGGATATGAACACAGACAGGGCTGAGCGGAAGAAAAATACGGTTGCGAAACTGTGAGAAGGACTATACGCTTCTTTATGCGGAATTGAAATTCATTGTATAAAACTGCGTTAAAGTAAAGCGTTCAGTCACATTTCGGACACGTTTTTAAATTTGTTGCAATTTAAACAAACGATAAGACTCACGGGACTGTTTGTATATTTTTCATCACACGGAATTTTGTGTGAAAGGGCAAGGGCAGGTTGATGGGCTGCGATATGATGTGCCCCAACCAATGATGCTAGGTAATATCTGGTGCTTCACGTTACCATCGCTAGTGTGTATACACCATCAAACACAGCATCTGGCATACATGGGAGGTAGAGAAGAGCACGATGCTGGTCTGTCTTATGTACGTATTGTGCCTCGCCTACGGACTCTGAATAATGCATAGCTTCAGTGTTGTATGTCAAGGCCATCGTGCAGCTTCACAACAGAAACCCGATAAGCTGCGGTCGAGCTAATGGTTTAACCGTACACATACAGTCCAACCAACTGCTGCTGACCTAGTGATCTCTCATCACCGTCTTCTTGATTTGACCAGGGGATTCTGGCTTGACCCGAGAATTTGCTTCAGGTCATTGACTCAACTAAAAGAATCGGGTTAAAATATTCCGATAATAATGGTAATACCTATATGGTATGCTTATGAGGATAAGTACCATGAACTACACATGAGGAATCATTTAGGCTTAATGCTGAACAATGGTCCCTTTTGCTTGTTCCTAATTATCATTATTATTTATGATGATTATGATGATGATGATGATGATATCGAGACACGTTCACAGAATCAGTGTTAGACTTTTGAGGCACTATTCTTGAGAATGTTACAGTCGTCGTATTTGCACAATCTAGGTTGTCTGGACGAGGTACATGATATATCGCATATACACTGATATCAGAGCAGAATATTTTTCAGGTCAGCTGTTGTTTTGTTCAGCTTCATGTCATAACGCTATAATGTTTTTGCTCAAAATCAACCAAACAGATGTTGAACATCATCAAGTCATGTTTGCTCCTAAACATGACTGTTTATTCGATTTCATTAAAACAACGTGAAGAAAAAACACATTACATTGCTGATGTATGTTCTAAATTTTGTTCAGAAGCGAAAGGTCGCTAAAATACATAAAAATATCGCACAATGCTCTCGGTTTGCGAAAATGTGCACAATAGAAAATATGTAGATGCACTGCGTGTATATTAAATGTATTTTTTAAATCTTCATACATAGTTCGTTTTGTTCATGACTTTACTGTACTGAGTTTGTACAATCTAAAAATATTTAGTATTGTATTCCATGAATTTCTTAAAGAAGAAAGAATTTTAATATTAAACGCCTAACACGTGTCAATGCTTGCTCTACTGTTTTTCATTTCCCGAAATATATAGTTCTGAGGTTGAAAAATAAGCATCCCTTCACAGCCGTATCAGAGCAGTTATTTGCATGTTATGAAGACATTCATAATAAATGCCCACTCATGCCCAAAAATGTCATTTTTCAAATGGTATGCACTTACAACTAGATTCGGATGTATAGAGTAAACGTTTTTTTCTTTCAGACGCGATATATTAGACTAACGCTTAGTCCCTAAATATATATAATTTTTATAGGAACAAATATACCCATTTAAATTGAAAAGGAGCCCCAGTGAGTTGGTAGCCCTGAACCTGAGGAAATTTAGGGCTTTATCATTGCAGGGAGGGCTAGGCATTAGGGAAAATAATGTGGTTCAGGGACTGTGAGACAGACAAGCGATGTATCTATGCTGACTGTATTAAATATGCATTTGCAGTGTAGAAAAACCTGAAATCTCAATCCATTCTCAACAGACTTTCCTTGTTTTTCAGATTTCCTTGCGGAACTGTACGACAGTTATTATGCTTATTCCGCGTGCTTGATGCCCCCCAATATGTGTGTTGAGGCCTACAGCACCACAATGACAGAGGGTAAGCACAACATCATGCCTTATGACGACTCCCTGCCATATGGATCTTCATTTCACAGGCAACTCGTAATGTCGTCTCCTTTACCTAGAGAGCACCCATCCAGAAGCCCCAGTGTCTCTTCAGACGGAGGAAAGGTGAGTTGTCCCCCTTTAAACTTGCTCTACCGGAGTTATCCCTCTTTTGGTGTATTGTAAATGTCATCGCAGACCTCTTAAAGCGTATTTTACAGTAAAGCATTATTTACCAATCTGGGTGGCTTGTGGTCCTTGTTTCTCATCATAACTGTTGTTAATTTCGATAACAAAGCAGATCTATAAGAAATGTCGTAAAAATGTCACGTTTAAGAAATTATTGGATTATGACTACACGTGTCAGTGCTATTCACAGTGTAAGGCTTGATGGCTTTGAAATGTCACATTAGGAAATTAAGTGTTATGTATGTCATGTCAAACTTAATCCACTTGCCACATTTTGTCAGGATCGCACATTTCAATATACTCCTTCATAGCATTATATATTCCATCGGAAAATACAACTGAACTCAAGTGATTTACATAAGACTATAAAATGAATGTCAGAGAAATTAGTGCGACACTGAAGAGCATGATGTGCCAGCAAGGAGACGATATCGAATACAATGACACATCTTTGTATTGTGTTTAGGTTTCAGGTCAGACGGAAGTAGCTGTTGTGTTTAAATTTTGATATGAAAGGATGTGATTCAAACACGTTGCTCTATTTCCCTGTAGGTGAAACCTCAATACACAGCGGAACTGGATGTCCTCTGTCGGATTTGTGGAGACCGAGCATCAGGCTTTCATTATGGCGTGCATTCGTGCGAAGGGTGCAAGGTACGTAGTTTGCAATGACGTCATCATTGACGTCATCAATACTTGGTTACTACCTTGAATACAGGGGATTTTAACAAATGTTTATTGAGTTACTAGTAACTGATTGTATTTCTGAAGTGTGTGTTGGTCAATATATGATTCATTTGAATAAGTATAAATGCTTTTAAAATAGATTTTCTAAGAACTGGAGGCATATGTTTAAGCTGTATTAGATAGGAGAAAACATGTTTAGATATTATATATTTATCTTGCAGGGGTTCTTCCGGCGTACGTTAAAAAAACAACTGACATATCGACCTTGCCAGATGGGATCGCAATGCAAAATAGATCAGAACTCACGAAACAAGTGCCAGTACTGTCGCTACCAACGATGCCTCAACGCGGGCATGTCACAAGATGGTATGTATATCGGATAATCAGCATCAGCTACTTTCCATCCTTCTGAAACTAGTGTGTCTCTCTCTCACACACACACACACACACACACACACACACACACAACACAACGCTCACACATTATACAAACATGCACGATACTTGTGCATGATACAAGTACACACACTATGTGGTCACAGTAATTATCATCCTGTTGATGATAAAGGGTCGCTGAAAGAGTTTTATGAATACTCATGTAAGTGTAATGTGTTCATGTTCAGATGCAAAACAACATAAACGTATAAATATTTATATAATGTCATTACGTTTCAATTTGAGGGATCGTTACAGGGACAACAAACTGAACTGACAAAAAGCAAGAGCGTTTGTCTGCACCGAAACATTAATGCAACGATTCCAACTCCTTCAGCAATGAGCAAAAACATCGCGATGCTTAAACCTTCCAAAAACACCAATTTTCTCCGTTCTGTATATTATTGAATGAAATATAGAGCAAGAAATCATTCTTAACGTCTCAGATCTGCAAGCATTTCCAAAACAAAATGTGGACATAAATTCTTGGACCAGGTGCACTATTTTGTTTTTGTGTTTTTTCTAGCTGTTCGGTTTGGACGTATGCCGAAGGCCGAGCGAGAGAAACTGGTGGCTGACAAGGAGGTTCTATGTAATACCGACGGGAAACGAATAGTGGAGCTGCGATCTCTGTCTGACCTCATTACAGCTGCTTTCAGAGAGATCTTTAATGACACCATATTTTTCAAAAGGGAACACAGTCAACCATGTACCTCCTTACATCTGGATGCTCATGTAGGTTATAGTTTTATAAATCATTAATTTAATATCAATATTGAATCAATTTCCCTTGAAATATTATTGTGTGTGTGTCAGTGTTACCTATGCTTGTAGATGGTACCAATAAAAGGATGCAGACTTTGCATATGAGCCTATTAAAAAAATGGTCTTAAATGACAGAATTCTTTCCTGGTATAATAATTTACATAGTTGTATATGTTGACATGCAATATAATTATTATGTTCAAATGTATGGATATATATATATATTTTGACATCATATTTCGTAATAAAATGATTGTCATATTCACTTGAATGAAAGCACTTACTTAGGTTGAGGAGGTGGTTGCATAATGTACACGGTTCCTCAAGAACACCTATATGAAACATATAATAGCGACGCCAAGATCACCGAAACTTCGATATTGTATTCCAGATGATGGACACAGAAGATCAGCAAACTATTATGGATGGCATGAGCTCCGAGGAGTTCCATGACAGACAGATATTCGGCTTGTATCAGGAACTGATCCTACCTGTGATGGAGGCGAGTGTGAAGTTCGCCAAGAAGCTGCCAGGGTTCACCAACATCCCCATGCATGATCAGATCAACCTGATGAAGCGAAATGGCTTTATGGTGGTCCAGGTCGCGGTAAGTTTTAAATTTGACTTTAATGTTTCGAATTTGAGGGCCCTTATCTAAACTATTTCTCTTATTTCGATTCGTTTCTAAATATATGACGATTGTTGTACTGTTTGGATATATTTTGTTTTCTAAACATGTCCTGAAGTTCAATTTAGCTGATGTAGATTAACGTTATGTGAGTTTCTAGTGCCATTATCGTTAGTCCCACACAGCTGCAGTATTTAGCTTAACTATCATCATTATTCATGTTAATCATATTTATATGCCAAAAGGTCGAATTGTTGGAATACTGATTGGGTAGGTTAACTGTGTACTGATGCAAAATGTAATATTTTCATTCAGACACTTTTTAAAATATTAACGACAGTCATTGTATTCACGTTGGCACGTTGTTGATTTTATGTAATATTGCCCTTTCTATTCTAAATAGAAATGTTTGTCTTTGTTGCAGTTGCATTCAATTATAGACAGAGAATTCATCAATTTTTTCACCCAGCGAGGAGCCTTGCGTCTTAGTCGGATGTCCCCCATGTTGTGCGATGAGATTAAGTCACTTTTAGAGAGGACAATTCAATGTGCAGACAGAATCAACTCCATGCAGCTTCAAACGGCGGAGCTTGCACTCTTCTGTGCTGTACTTTTAACTCAAGGTAGGCATCGCTTATTGAGTAAATAATTTGAATCCTTCGAGGAAAAACAGACTAAGATATCATATCGAGATAGCCAGATTTTTAGAAGGTTTAAATTGGTGGCTAAATGTGGAAATACGTGTCTTCGAAATATCCAGAGATAATGGAATATGATGGAAATTGGTGTGCATTCCTCGAAAAAAATCTGTACAAAAAACTCGAGATTTTGGAGATATGAGTTATTTCAACTGAACTCGATATACGTTTGGAGACATGCATTATGATTGAAAACTTCGCCAGCATAATGAAAGATATCGTTTCGAGACACCGCAAATAGAAGGTAACTGTTCCGTAACAAGATGATGTAGGGGTTTGAGATGGGCTGGATTTTGTTGCATGTCTACAGCAACTATTTGTGAATTGTGATACTGTATTATATGAAATATTCAATTGTCAGTACCTACTTTTCCATACCTACATATATTCTACTGAAAGCCAAGACGCTGTCTATTAACAGTATTTTTTATTTATGATATTTGCGTGAAACATTTCCATGTGCGAATGCATTTGTTGATTATAGTGCTTTGTGGAATAATAAATGAAATCTTAAGACATGACACTTCTAAAAGGACGCTCCACTGTCCGGGTGATTTAATGACATAGACGTTTATTCATGTAATAAATGTGACGTTAGTGACAGTTAATTTATTAATTTATTATCCAGACATTCTGTTAATCCGGGGTTTTTGTTTACTTGAAATATTCCCCATCCGGGTCATCGGGGCCGTTTGATCCAACTTTTCACACTAACCAAAATGGAAGGACAATTAATGAAACTAATCACGTGACGTTTTGTTTTCAGAATCTCCCAATCTGTTGAACCCTTCCTTGGTTGAGGACTTGCAAGCTGATCTTATAGAAGCCCTACGGATAGCCCTTAAACACAACCATCCGAAACAGACTGTTCTACTGCCCAAACTGTTGGTCCTTATCTCAGATCTAATTCAAATTGTGGAAGAATTTCGAGATCATCTCAAGAAAGGACTATACGACAAATCCGGTGACTATTCAAATGTTAAACCTTTACTTCGAGAAATATTCGACTTAAGTTGAATGTGTCCATTTACCGAACAATCAGTTGTCCAAGAGCCTCTGACATAATTCTCTTTGTGTCCGCATGTTCAAATAGTAGTTCTGCAGGTGTTCTGCTATGAGACATTTTTGTCAAGGTAGAAATATGATCTTGTACTGGGCGTCTTACCTGACTTCTATTGAATTATGGTATCATTAAAATGTTTGAAGTATGGTATCATTGAAATGGTTGGTAATAGGTATTAATCTGTTAGTCACGCATGTGTTCATTGAGCTTTACGGCAATACAGTGAACACCATTCGCCCTGTAGTTTATGATCCGAGGTTAATATAAATTTTATGACATAAATATCCCCGTAATTGTTAACTGAAAACCTACGTAATCCCACGACTGCCTATAGAGAGTGGGTTGCTGGATATGGGATGAGATTTGGTTATCATATGCACTGTAGGTAACCTGTTACGCTGCCATTAACAATCACGTTTAAATGGGAATAAGGTTTATATTATCTTCGTGGCAAAATTCTCTGCACGTACATTTTACGATGGCCTATTTTATACGGATAGGCATGTATAAGAACCACGTTCGAGGTTTAAGTATTTATAAAACAGGAATGAGGTATAAGGAGATGAGAATTACCCGGTGTCTCGCAGATGGTCAAAAACAGCTTTAGGTGTTTTAGAGTTAGATACTACTAGCAGGTTTGTACATGTAGACTACAATTAAGCGCCCGTGGTCATCAATAACACGTTTGTTCATATTGTCAAGCTGTATGCAGCAGTTTGAAAGGTTTTCAGAATGTAATTATGTATTTTATCATTGTACAAGTTCAAAGCATAATATTGTCCCATTTCACAGAAGTCATCACAGCTCAAATTGTTATGAATTACAGTATTTATTTTTTCAAAATATATTTATGTATTTTAACTGTAATCGTAAATGTGTCCAATATAATTGACTTTTGTATGAGAACTATTATTAACAGTTGATTGGCAAAAGCAGTCAGTAACAACTAGTGGTTCGTACCATTGTTAGTGCCTCCACGGGAGTTGAAAATACATTTGCTAGAGGAGACAAATCATTTCTTGTGTTTGAGAAAAAACGGGAAATGGCAGCTACAGAGGAAGAACTATAACCATTCGGACTCATAATGAAAACATATATATTTATTCTAAAATCACGATATATGTTCATTTTGATGCTCAATTTGTACAAAAGCAATGTCACAGTACTAGAAATCCGTGTAGCTCATTGTATAGTCTAGTGTTCTACATATCACCCATGTTATGTGCCCGAACGTCTAACAGAGAGCAATATGTTAAAACGTCCTATTGTTTATATATCATGTTCATCTATATACAAAATGTAGAATATTCTACAGAACTGCTTTACTCATAAGATCGTTATTCTGTTGTTGAACTGTGCAATTTGAAGCAAAATTATATGTTGTTTGTGCCATATACGTCATGAGACCTGTACAGCGACACCCTGTTTGTCAGGACCCTTCACTTTCCGGACGACTTCTCTCCGTAGCATCTATGTATGTGCAAAATACATTTATCATAAACAATGATTCAGAAATTCGGACATGTGTTAATACGGAACGAAGGCATCTAGATTAACGACATTCAGGGGTTACACGTGTCCACTGTTACAAATACCCAGAACTGCATATTTTGTTTGGACTTGCGAACTTAAGGTAAGGATTCATTTGTCAGATTTTCTAGCTTAGGATTCTATAACGTCCCCGTTGTTATTGTCATTATACAGTCATATTTGGTTTGGCTAGGACAAGACTAAGAAACGACACATAATGTGGCCTAAATATTACTATGCTTAAATACATCAGACTAATGTTTTATACATAGTCTTTACGAATGATATTCCAACACTATTACATTTGTTTAACTACGATTTTATTATCATTTTTTATCTTGGATGGAAATAGGGACAAAAGTTTTTTTTACAAGTTTGGTTAAAATGTCATATGTCTTAGAGATAAACACAGTATATTTGAGATGCCAGATAACTTTGATGCTCTGGTTACAACTGAAGAGAAATATGAAAAGGTGAACGAAGAAATCTTTTACGAAAGACTGCTAAGATTATATACGTACGAAAATTTATAAATTTATTCTACATTATCTGTAGCTGGTGGTATTTCTAGTAATTAAAACATGCTTAGGACAACCAAGATGTCTATTTTTAACCAGAAAATCATGTAATGAATCAATGTTCTGTCTAAAAAAAACCCGGCTATGACGCCATTTTCACCTCGATGTCTGTCCTTCTGCCTTGGTTGCCCATCGAGGTTGGGTGTCTCGAGGGGGTAGGGAAGGATAGTTAGTGTGGGCTAGCCCTCACAGGTGGCAATATCACCGCCCCAATGTCATTACTTAAGTAACCACTTTTTCCGTTTTAGCCATTTGAACTTCGAGAAAATATTAAACACATAATTATAGGAACTTTAATATTTGGTGCGTTTTGCCATCGATTTGGGGCATATTTTGATGATAGCGAAAGGAGAATGGTTTGTCGGTTTTGAAATACTCATTTCATTTCTTACCGAATATGTAAACGAAACCTGTCACTGTGTGCTTCACCAGCGCGAAGTTTCTAGCGGATGTGTGCCCGGTGAACTTGTTGAACTCTGTGTCTGAGTGTTCAACAATCTCTATTTCATGTGCATTGTGATAATTAATAACATACCAGTTGTACATATTATATATTTTTTCTCATGTGTCATAGCTAGTATTTCGTTTTCTTGAGATTCTGGCAGTAGCCACATGCCAGTTTCTCCACTGCATCACCATGAAAGTGCTAACTGATTATTTATATTAACAAAGTGCTACAGTATGATCGCCATCATACATATTGTGATATCCTATATATTTAATTAGGACATATTATTTTTTGAAGTTACAGACAAATAATCCAAATTTATTAGATAGGTTTATAGAAAAGGAAGCTTTTAGTTACCATCACAGCCTTAATCTCTATTGGTGGCGTCGGCTATGGACTAGATTAGTTCTTCTGGAGTTGAAGTATAAGTTGAACAATTAATTCCTATACTTAGTAGCTACCAATAACTAGAATAGGCATGGTGGTGAAAAAGAACAAATTAAGTGGATCAGTTCTTTCCTGACAATGTCTTCGCAAAGCTCGAAGCAAGCGTTATAACTATTTGTTTAGTTCTTTTGAACCACTGTTCCAAGTTTACCAAAATGTGTTCCAGTTATATTGTAGATTTATGTTTTAAATAACTCGGTCGTGGCAGTTTATAGTTTCTTTGAAACGGATGCCTATGGAATGCCATTTGAGATTCAGTCGCGACGAACCGTGGACTATCAATCAAGTCTATCTACTACAAATTGAGAATGAATGATTAGTCGGTTTAAGGGACCGGTCGTTAATTACAAGGATAGAGAGGGATAGTCACTGGGTTTTGATACACCATCGCACAGTAAATAATTACCCTCATGTAATATAATTATTTAAATACTTGAGTTTTTTACTCTCCCCTTGTCCATGTTCACGTGTTTCATTACCCTCCCTGAAAAGAAATAAAAAATGTCCATTTTATTACCAAATATGTGTACTTTTTTATATCTTGCTCTTGTGACCCTCAAACGATTCCCTCTTACCCACCTACGTTTAAATGGGTGAAATGACCGGTCCCTTATCAAGGAAAACCCTAATGTATCACGTTATTGCCGATAGTAATGCCTAACTTTGGATATAACGTTCTGATGTCTGGACGAGTGTTCGTTACATCAGTAGTTTATTGCACTGTTCTGGAAGTATGTTTCTCGAGGCAAGATGTTTAGGGCTGCACTCTTAAGGTCGTGACCGAGAATTACAGATTGGCCACATCTGTTACCAAACCAACAACCAAGAGCTGTATGTAAAACAACATTCTGTTGACAGAAGATTCAAAAGTAATGAATTAACTGAAACAGTTGGATTTTTTTCTTCTTTTTTTATTTTTTGATTTTTTGTATAATGTTAAAGTTCGCCTATTTTCACAACCGATGTTTTCATGACTATTCACTGTCGTTGCATGACAACCATAGGATTTGTCTATGTTTCGCCTATTGATCGTCCTTGTTGTTGTTGTTGTTGTTGTTGTTACAAGTGTCCCCGAGTCAATGTACAGGCCATCGCTCATGAATATTAATAACACTGGTCCATCGAATGTAGATATCAGAATATATTTATAACTATGTTGCTTCATAAATGTAAGATTTGGAAGAATATGTGTTACAAGATATGTTGAATAAATATGTGCCTTATTCGAATGACTGTGTTTGTGCTGTGTTTTCCTGAAGTCCGGCTGTTGCGAGACACAGTACAGCCGCCATTGTTATGGACCATCGAGAGATAAATGTTGTACACCGCAGAGATCTTCCAGCGATGTAAATGTATGCAAACTGTAACAGACGTCCAGGCTGGTACAGGCACGCGAGACTCATGTCATGGAACACGGTGACAAACGCTCAGATGACATTGGTACCATCCAATCCTCAATAGCCTCGTCTTGCAACAAGTATAGATTACACAGAACCATGTACCAGCTGTAATCGTCATCTTTGGACGTAGGGATGGGGGCTGCTATATTATTTCGGTAGACGGGAAAGTTGGATGTTACATGTGTATACCAAACTAAATAGTCACCCCTTTCCCCTGATAAGGGAGAGGGTGGGCCTTCCCGTTGAGTCTTACGATTTTGATTTTCCCACGATCTTAAAACATTCTAAAAGGAAGCAAAACTGCTACGCTATGCAGTGTTTGATTTAATCTGGGTGGAAAGGACGATGTGTCATCAACTTAACAAGAAAATATGGATCTAACTGTTGCCGTTTACAATCTGTAGCTGTTCCGTCATTTCCATTGACCTGGAAATACGACAAGCATAAACTCAATGAAAGTCATAAAGTCTATTACGAAGATCATACCACAATCACTAGCGGAGTACTGAGGTAAAATAATAGATCCCTCTTGTTCAGCTTGACGAGCAAGGGCTTGAACCACTTGGCTACACTCCCACTCTAGTACTGAAGAGAACCCTTACACTTGACTACGCGTTTATTCTACTATTATATCTCACAAATTAGCTTTATAAATGCGCAGAAATACCGAGAAAAGAGTTGGCCCCGATGTTTCCATGGCGATGCATCAGCATGAATAAGCTTTGCATTCACTGTATCTAATTTGCATGACTTATATATGAGGAGAATAATGCATCTCTGAAAGACCAGTACATTCTCGGCAACAAACCGCAGATCTGCATTACTCGTACCAACTACCCTTGACAAGTAAGTGGGTGTAGAGGCGCAGACGACACTGTGCCGCCATATTGCGGCAGCCTGTACATAATCTGAAGGCGACTGGACATGATTGCCCGACATCGTAAACATGAGACAACGCCTGTCATACTGTATCACCATCCATCGCCATTTGTATCACTTAACTCAGCTACACGATACGGATATTGTACCCGCTGTATCCCCAACCCTACCCCACCCGCCTTTATACAGAATTAAGATTGTGAATCATTAGTCCTGCATGACCAGATAACACTTTTCATCATTATTGACCGTCCCTCGGCATCGCCCCCTTTAACGGCACTTGATCATGTCATTGTGGTAATATATACAACGTCCATTGGCTTGTACAACCATACTGTATTTCGTATACTGTTGCGTTCAGTTCAGTTATGTACCTAGTAGGAATTGTTCATCTTATTCATATTACAGGTAATATTACTACCATCATGCAGTTTCGGGGGACACCCTAAATGTTCAACAACAATGGCAATCCTAAAACTATGACAGCAAATCACTCACATTGATAAATATTTCTCAGACTTGCCATGAGGCAAGGATGACGTTTTTGCACCGCCTGTCTCATAAACAGAACTCGATGACCTTCCTCTAAAAATATGTTTTTAGCAATTCATTGCCTGCTGACATATTCACGAATACACGTGATAAATGTATTCAACAGGTGCTGCATATATTTGTATGGACAAAAGTCAGGGTTCCATTGCTTCGGTTATGCCGAACTTTATACTTGTCGAGCTGACAAACTCTGAGTTGATAAAATCAAAGCAATAAACCAACGACACGCATTGTGACATGCCGCACGTTCCAAGGGAGGTAACTCCCCCACTTCTCCCTACCGCTTCTTATCACACAGCGTGCATGGTGTCTAAACATCAGTCGTATTCGTGATGGAGGACAGCATTGTAATATGGTGGCGTAATGTATCGCTAATAATGTTGTAATCGTATTACATTGTTTCTGGTGCACTCAGCAATATTCCAGCTATATAGCGACGGTCTGTAGATAATCGAGTCTGGACCAGACAATCCAGTGATTTATCAATGTCATGAGCATCGATGTACGCATTTTGGATACGATGACATGTGTCAACCAAGTCAGCGAACCTGACCACCCGATTCCGCCAGTCGCCTCTTACCACAAGCATGGGCACAGGAACCCGTTGTCGCTATGTGGGTTAAACATAGACCATAGATCTACACACACGTCATGTATATAAATGGAGTATTTATATATATGACGTGCATGAAGATCTATGGTCTTGTCCAGTGATCTATGTTTAACCTACATATAATAACGGGTTCCTGTGAGCATGGGTTACTGAAGACGTATTCTTCGCAGTTTTCTATGTAATATAAGTAGTGGTGTCAGAGACCATATATTGTATGGTCTCTGGTGGTGTGAATGCTACGATATTGTGATGCTTTTGAAGTCAAGTGCAGTATAGTTTCTTCTAGAATGGTTAAGGACTCATCCAGCTTGGTATGGGACTTTCTGAAAATTAATTGAACTTTTTAAGTGGGCAGGACCGTATCTCTATCAAGCTTTTTACAGTGCTTTTCAAATTTAACATCAATGTCTCTCTTTGAATTTATTGTACAGTTTACATTCAAAATGTCCCCAAGCATTGCCACAGTACCAGGAATCATTCACGTTGAAACGACACAGGCCATAGTTTAGCTGACTAGTCATATATCTCATCTTAGTGTGTATAATATTAAATTTTTTAAATTCCAAACGAGTAATATGATAGAGCTACAGGTTGATCACGAAGTAAGTATGACATGAAGCTTTGTAATGAAGGCCGATTTCTTTCAGTATCAGAAATATTATTCCATAATCTTATAGTTGATTGTAAAAAGGAATAATATGAATATCTTAAACTTGCAGAAGATAAATTAATATTATTAGGAGTCCGAAGGTTAAAATTAGATTAATTAATTATCACTTCCTAAAAACGTTTAGATTTTTCAAGTGATTCTTCTAACAAGCAAAGTTTACCGAGACTGCACGCATTTAAGCCCCAATAGATCAGAAACTGGAAGCTGTTCGGAAGTTTTGACACTTGTCATTTCCTTTCATTCGTAAAAATGTATTTGTTTATTAAACTTTAAATATTTTTTTATACTTTAATCGTTTTGTTAGTTGTTTTGTGTGTGT